GCTGCTGCTGCTGCTGGGCGTTTTGGACGGGCCCGCGCGCGCTGGCTCCGTGCGTGCCGGAGCAGCAGGAGGGCGCAGGCTGCGGGGAGGACTCGGTCCTGCAGCAAAAGGGCAGTCGTGAGAAGCGCCGTGTCGCTCCCGTGCGCTTCCAAGAGCTCCATTTTGCTCTCTGCTGCTCTCGTAGCACGATTTGCTGCTATAAATATCTCTGCGTGTCCTCCGCCCGTGTGACTAATAATCAGCGCTAGCCCCAAGTGTCGGCTCTCACGAATGTGGTCGCAGGTGCCCGCTGCAGGGCTCCCACGGCGCTATCAGCAAAGTGCCCACGGAGCCGTGTGCGCTTGCCGGGCAACTTCAAAACAGTCCGGGCTTCAAAACAGCCTGTTTGAACGTGATAAAGCGGATCGTCGGGTGCTCTCGGAGGTTTGTTTGGGAAGCGGAGCACAGCGCCCGGCCGGGGCTGTTTGCAGTGGCAGAGCCGCCTGCTTTGGGAAGCTGGTGGAAAACAGCGGCCGGGGCCGCGCGGGGGACGTGTCCCCGGCCGGCCTCCCCCCCCCCCCCCGGACCAGAGGGGACAGGGCCCGACACCCCGCTCCCACCAGCAGGTCGCTTCATCCCCAGGATAAAACACAGCCTTTGGATTGCCCGGATTTCCCGGCTCTGGAGCAGGACTGGTTCTAGCAGGCCCATGGTGCTACCAAAGGGAGGGTCGGCTGGTTTCACCCCGCGAGTATTTGGGCCTCCAGGTTTCTTGTGCAGATGGTCTTCACCGTGGGAGCTGCTCATGGCACGACCACACTGGCCACAGGCCCCCACACGCGTTGGCAGCTCTACCCTCTGCATGGAGGCTGTTTTTCACTGTTTTTAATTTCTTTCCTTGTGCTGATGTGCACGTTTTGTGTGTGTGTTTGCAGGCTGGACGGCGCTGCACGAGGCCTGCAACCGCGGCTACTACGATGTCGCGAAGCAGCTGCTCGCTGCGGGCGCCGAAGTCAACACGAAGGGCCTGGACGACGACACCCCACTGCACGACGCAGCCAATAACGGGCACTTCAAGGTTGGTTTTTGTTGCATTTAGTGGCTGGCTTTTAATGCAAATTTCCCTGCCCCGGCGCTGTTACATGTTTTACTCCATGTTCTCCTTTACAGGAAAATGGGACATTTTTCTTCCAGAGTGGGAAGAGAGGCAGTGCAGCTTTGCCTTCTTCCTTCTTTTTCTTCTTCCTTCTCTCCTGCCCAAATTAATTCACAATGCCATTTTTGTCTTCTTTCTTCTCAGTGATTCTTACTGTCCTAAGGCCTGTCCTTTGGCCCAAGGAGAGGCTGCTCTGTAGCTTGGGGACATCCCCCTTTTTCTTGCATATCTGAAAGCTCTGCAAAAATCCTGGAACTGAAATCTCTTTAGGAGCATCTTCATGTTCAAGTCTCATTTTCTGTTTTCAGGTGGTAAAATTGCTGTTACATTATGGAGGGAATCCTCATCAAAGCAACAGGAAGGGAGAGACACCTTTAAAAGTAGCTAATTCTCCCACCATGGTGAATCTACTCCTGGGCAAGACCACGTATCCCTCTAGTGAAGAGAGCTCAACAGGTGAGATTGCCCTTTGTGTGAACATGGGAGTGATGTTTGTGGCCTGCAGCTGTCTGTGAATACAGACATGTTAAGAGGACAGTGAGGTTAGCCTGTTGTCAAGAGTACCTGCACGCTGCTGCACGGTCAGGAGTCTGTCTGTAGCTGTAACTCTCACTCAGACAACATAACTACAGCCTTTAGCTCCAGGAGCTCTAGCTCTTTGCCCTGGAAGCCTGCGTTGAGATCACTTGCCTGGTGCAATCGAGATGTAGGATTGGAAGCCAATTGCAGGTAAATGGACATCTTACCTTTAAAATGTCAGTAACATCCCAGCTTGTCGAGAGAAAGGAAGGAGTTGGGGTGACGTGTGTGTGTCCATCCCTTCCCAGCTCGGGAGCTCTGCTGTCCCGGTGCTGCCGCTTCCAGGGCTGCGCGTGGCCGCGTGCGCCGGGAGAGCCTGCCCTGCCAGTGCCACCGCCGTGGCTGTCCTGGATGGGGAAGGTTGCAGCTTTTAGGCAGTTCTCAGAGGGGAAAACATTGAAGCCTGTTGGGGAGTCCTGGCCTGCCCCTCTGTTTGCACCGTCACGACCCTGTTAACGTTTTTTTCTCTCGATGCACCCTGTCAGGAATATCCCTCGCAGGTTTGATACTGAACAGCTCTTCCTTTCCGAAAGGTCTTCCATCGTGTGTTCTGAGCTCTTAGCTGCATCCTTAGCAAAGGCCGGGAGAGGCCGAGGGGCGGCAGGGCTGTCCCCGAGGGTTCGCGGTCGCCGCAGCAGCCCGTGGTGACGTTCCCTCCCCGGGACCCCTCGGAGGCCTAACGCGCTCTTCTCTTCTCTCTGCAGAGACCTCGGAAGAGGAGGACGCCCCTTCCTTCGCTCCCTCCAGCTCTGTTGATGGCAATAACACAGACTCAGAGTTTGAGAAGGGCTTGAAGCACAAGCCCAAGGCCCAGGAGCCCCCCAAGACCATCACCCCCGTGAAGGATGAGTATGAGTTTGATGAGGACGATGAACAGGACCGGGTACCGCCAGTCGATGACAAACATTTGCTGAAAAAGGATTACAGAAAAGAGACTAAAGCAAACAGTTTCATTTCCATACCCAAAATGGAAGTGAAAACTTATACTAAAAATAACACAATTACACCAAAGAAAGCTGCCCACCGCATCCTATCGGACAGCTCGGACGAGGAGGAGACCAGCGTTGCTGTGGGGACTGCGGAGAAGCTGCGACTCTCGACCCACTCGATATTGCCCAGCAGCAAGATCCGGGAGCCCGCCAGCACGAAGGCGCAGAAGGAGAAAAGCAAAGTAAAAAAGAAGCGGAAGAAGGAGACTAAAAGCAAAGAGGTTCGGTTTGGCAAAAAAAATGACAAATTTTGTTCCTCTGAATCAGAGAGTGAAAATGTGGAGAGTGAGGAGGATGATAGAGACTCTCTTCAGAGCTCTAGCTGTGTAAAGGACTCCAGGCTAGTGCTAAAGGAATCCTCCTTGTTTAACTCTCTGTCTGCCTCATCGACCTCTTCGCATGGGAGTTTAGCATCCCAAAAACACAATGCTAACCTTACAGAGCAGCACTCCAAGCACTGGAGGACGGACAATTGGAAAACCATATCTTCCCCCGCTTGGTCAGATGTCAGTTCCCTATCGGACTCCACGAGGACGAGGCTGACGAGCGAGTCAGACTACTCGTCCGAGGAGTCCAGCTTAGAGTCGCTAAAGCCAGTCAGGAAGAAACCAGAGCACAAAAAGAAAAACAATCCACACAACACTGTTTCGGAGAAGAAGAATTCATTCCATAGCAATGTGGATGGAGCAATTCCAAAGCTGGACAAGGAGGGGAAGGTTGTTAAAAAGCATAAAACAAAACACAAACATAAAAACAAGGATAAGGGACAGTGCCCCATCAGCCAAGACATTAAAATAATCAAAACGTTTTCTTTTGAGTTCGAGGACTCTAAACAAAAGCCTGAGAAAGGCTTGATAGTAGAGACAGAAACTCCAGTCGAAAATAAATTGAAAGTATTAAAACATGAGCGGGAACATTGTAAGAAGGAAGAAAAACTCCCCAAAGGTAAAATGGAGGAGAAGGAGTGGTTGTTTAAAGATGAGACTGGAAAATCCTCGAAAGAGGAGAAATCTCTAAGAAAAGTCAAAGATGGTAGTAAAGACATGAGCAAATCCTTCAGAGAAGGATTGAGTAAATCAGAAAAAGAGAAGCCTGTAAAGGAGAAGTCTCCCAAAGAGGAGAAGCCCAGAATACACAAGGAGGAAAGAAAGAAGAAATCAAAGGACAAGCAGTCCAAATCTGAAAAGAAGAATGATCTGAAGGAGGAGAAAGCTTCTAAACTAGAGAAAGAAAAATCCTTCAAAGAAGAGAAAGAAAAATGCAAAAAAGAAAAAGTTTACAGGGATGAGTCTGGCTATGACGAGTTTAATAACAAGGGCCAGTTTGCCGAAAGCGAGGACACAAAGTTCAGCCTCTCGGACGATCAACAAGAGAGATGGTTTTCAGACTTATCGTCTGATTCTTCCTTCGATTTCAAGGGCGAAGATAGCTGGGATTCTCCAGTAACAGACTTCAGGGAGATTAAAAATGACACCGTGGCCAAACTAATCATAGAGCCCGTGAAAGAGGAAATTAAAGACAAGAAAAAGGAAAACAAAACGAAAGAGAAGAAAGAATACAATGAAAAACGTAGTGAAAAGGACACTTTCTCCAAAAAGAAAGACAGAGACTACGTGGACAAAAACTCTGAGAAGAAGAAGGACCAAACTGAAAGACACAAAGTTCCTCCTAGTTATTTGCCTGAAAAGGACAAGAAAAGGAAGGATTCTGCAGAAAGTGTCAAAGAGAGGAAAGAAAAAGATACAGGTGAAACCAACAAGGATAGAAAAGATTCCTCTGATAGCTCTAAAGATAGAAAAGATGCCAAAAGTAAACAGGAGGAGCCCTATCGCGACGAGTTTAAAGACTACGGCTGCGAAACCTTCTTCAAGGACAAGTCTGAGCCCGAATTCAGCGGCAAAAATCTGGAGAGCTGGGATAGGCACCATTCCGGGAAGGAGAAGAAAGAGGCTCCCGACAAGGAAAAAAAAGAAAAAACGAAGCCAGACAAATACAAGGACAAATCCAAAGAGGGAGACAAGGAGAAAAATGAAAAAGTTGCTCCTGAGAAAAACCTGAAAGACAAAGAACTAGAAAAAAGTTTCAAAGAGAAAAAAGAAACAAAAGAGAAGTACAAAGACCTGCACACCAAGGACAAGGAGAGGAAGAGTTCCTTCGACCAGGTTAAAGAAAAGAAAGAGAAAAACTTCTCCGTGGATAGAGAAGACTTCTCTGAGAAAAAGGAGGAGAAGAAAGGCAAGGAGAAGAGCTGGTACAGCATCGCAGACATCTTCACGGATGAGAGCGAGGACGAGAGGGACGATTACAGCTTGACGGGGTTCAAAGTGGGCGACACGGTTGGGAGCGAACTGCACCGCCTGGAGAGTCTGCAGGAGAAGGATGATGGAGCCGAAAAGGAGCTCTACACCGACAAACACCGCAAGTATTCCTCGGACAGGCAGCATTCCGGGGAAAAGCAGAAGGAGAAGGACTCCAAGGAGAAGAAAAAGGACAAGGGAACATCGGAAGGCGGCAAGGAGAAAAAGGAGAAGAACTCCTTCGAAAAACACAAAGAGAAGAAGGATTCTTCCGAGAAGTACAAGGACAGGAAAGACAGAACATCCATAGACTCCACTCAGGAAAAGAAGAACAAGCAAAAGCTCCCTGAAAAAGCTGAAAAGAAACATGCCAGTGACGATAAGGTGAAAAACAAGCATAAGGAGAAGGGGGATAAAGAGCATTCCAAAGAGAAGAAATCCTCCAAAGGAGGAGAATCAGAGAAGAGCCTTTTGGAAAAACTGGAGGAGGAGGCTCTGAATGACTATAGGGATGATTCCAATGATAAAATCAGCGAAATCTCCTCCGACAGCTTCACAGATAGGGGACAAGATCCAGGACTGACCAGCCTCTTCGAATCTTCTAATCTCTCTCTTGCTGATGCCTCTGAAGAAAAATTTAAAGATTCTCTGCCTTTGCCCTGCTTGCAGGACAAACTCAAGGAGAAGGAGAGACACAGACATTCCTCGTCTTCATCGAAGAAAAGTCATGAGAAAGAAAAAGCAAAGAAGGAGAAAACAGAGAAAAAAGAAAAAGCAGAAGAATTTAAAGACTCCAGTAGCAGAAAGGATTCCACCCATTATGAAAAGGATTTCTCTGTGGATGGGGAGGCTTTTAGCACTTCTTACAACATGAAGGCAGAGCCTGATGAAGAACCTGAAAAAAGCATTGATTACTTATTTTCTGAAAAGAAAGAAAAAAATGATTCTGAAAGAGAACTGTCAAAGAAGGCAGAAAAAGAAAAGACTTACGGTTCCAGCGCCATCAGCACAGCGAAAGAGAAAAAGAAGCGTGATAAGCACAAGGAAAAATGGAAAGAGGACAAGGAAAAGCATAGGGACAAACATGCAGATGGTTTCTTTAAACATCACAAAGATGAACCAAAGTTAACGCTTAAAGACAAGGACAGCCCTCAAGTTACAACCTTTAAAGATAAATCAAAGGACGAAAGCCTCAAATTTGGTGAAACCAAACTGAAGGAGAAACTCAAGGAAAACCAAGAAAAAGACAAATCAGAGTCGATAAAAATCAGCAATGGTAATGAAAAAATAACCCTGTCCAAAGATCCCGTCAAGAAAGATACCAGGCCAAGGGAGAAGCTTCTGGGAGACGGGGATCTGATGATGACCAGCTTTGAGAGGATGCTGAGCCAGAAGGATCTGGAGATCGAGGAGCGCCACAAAAGGCACAAAGAGAGAATGAAGCAAATGGAGAAAATGCGACACAGGTCCGGGGACCCCAAGTTAAAGGACAAAATCAAAAGCGCTGAAGAGGTGCGCAAGAGGAGCCTGGACCTGGCAGCCAAGAAGCCGTTAACGCTGGACACGCAGCTCAAGGACAAGAAAATTAAAGAATTGGGTCCACTGACTCCTATACTGTCACCGGACAACAAGGCCCAGCCGGCTGTTGGGACGGATTCCAAGGACTGGATAACCGGGCCGCAGCTGAAGGAAATCCTTCCCGCGTCCCCGCGGCCGGATCAGAACAGGCCCACGGGCGTCCCGACGCCGGCGTCCGTGGTGTCCTGCCCAAGCTACGAGGAGGTGATGCAGACGCCGAGGACCCCTTCGTGCAGCAACGACGACTACACGGATCTCATGTTCGAATGCGCCGACTCGCAGCACTCGCTGCCCATATCCACCATGTCCATGAACGCGTGTTCTCCATCCTTCTTTGACAGATACGCCAACGTCTCCAGCGGGCTCCCTGAGAACCCCAGCCAGACCCCGACGCGCACCATCCCCTCCACCAACCTTTACCGCTCCATCTCTGTCGATATCAGAAGGCCACCCGAGGAAGAATTCAGCGTGGGAGATAAATTTTTCAGGCAGCAAAGTGTCCCAGCAACATCAAATTATGACTCTCCAGTGCAGCATTTAATGGAGGAAAAGGTTCCCCTTCCCCCTGTTCCCACAGAGAAATTCCAGTGTTTATCTCCTGGGTATTATTCACCTGATTATGGGGTTTCGTCACCTAAAGTGGAAGCTTTGCACTGTCCCCCGGGAGCTGTCAGCGGAGTTGCCCAGTCACCCGAACGTGTCTTTTCTGGTTTACAAGCAAAATCCTCCCCCTCGCATCGAGATGAACTGCTGGCGCCTTCCGTAGAAAGTGCTCTTCCCCCGGACCTGGGCATGCCGCTGGACACCACGGAGGAGCAGCAAGCTACGGCCTCCATCATGCCCCCAGAACCTACCTTCTTGCCACCTATTGAAGAAAACCATTTTAGTTCAGCCATGCCAGAGCAAAACAGCATGGACTGGGACAACCCTCCTTCGAGGAACGCCGACGCCGCCGTTCCTCCCAGCCTCATTGGGAACCCCGCGGAGCACTCCGTCAGCTGGTCCATGGGCTCAGAGCTTCTCATGAAATCTCCCCAGAGGTTTCCCGAGTCTCCTAAGCCACCTCTCTGTTCCCTAGAACCAATTCACCCCACACCAGTAGCCTTCATTCCCGCAGAAGCGCCGTACCCCGTCTCTCCTATATCTTACCCTCTGTCAGTGTCTGAACCAGGGCTTGAGGAAGTCAAGGAAGATGCTGAAGAAGCAGTTCCAGGAGAAATAGCGACCACTGCTGATGAGCAAGCACCGTATATGTCCCCTAGCAGATTAGACACGTTCTTTAATAACTGCAAGCCTCTTCCAGAAGAAGCACCAGAGATACCTCCCGAACCCCCTTGCATGCCAACAGAAACTCAGGCAGAAGTTGTTAAGACACCAGAAAACAACTATTTGGAGAGCGGTAACGCTGCGCCCGCAAACGCAGAGGAGCCCGTAACGTGGCCTGATCCATTCACCAACACAGAGGATGATTTGGACCTTGGCCCCTTCTCGCTACCAGAGCTGCCGCTCCAGCCTAAAGACCCCGCCCCTCCCGGGGGAGAGGGGGGCACAAGCCGAGGAGCCCAAATCGGAAGCGACCGCACAAGAAGCCCCCTCGGAAGTCCCCAGCGCACCTGACGAGAAGGGGCTGGAGGAATCGGAAGCGCAGATATTCCAGCAGAGCTCGACCGAGTCCGCCCAGGCCGAGAGCAAAGAGGTGGAGCCCGCTCATGAGGACGTGTCCTCCGCCAGCGCGGGGCCGGAGAGCAGCTCCCAGAGCTGCCCGGCGCCGGGGACCGTCCCCGAGAGCGGCCCCGCGCAGGACGGCGCCCAGCCCGCTCCGGACGCGCCGCCGGGGAACGCTCCGGCAGAAGTCACGGAACCAGCGCAGAAACCGGTAGCCGAAGCTCCCAAACCGCCCAAAATAGAGGAGATTCCTCAGCGGATTACCAGGAACCGGGCTCAGATGCTGGCCAACCAAAACAAGCAGAACGCTGCGTCTTCGGAGAAGGAATTTCCTCCTGTTTCTGCACCTTCCACGCGTGCCAAAGGCCGGATTACGGAGGAAGACGATTCCCAGACTCAGCACCCACGAAAACGGAGGTTCCAGCGCTCCAACCAGCAGCTGCAGCAGCAGATCAACACCTCCACCCAGCAGACGAGAGAGATGATACAGCAAACACTGGCAGCTATCGTCGATGCTATAAAACTGGATGACATTGAACCCTATCACAGTGACAGATCCAACCCCTACTTTGAGTACCTCCAGATCAGGAAAAAGATTGAGGAGAAGCGGAAAATCCTCTGCTATATCACACCCCAGGCTCCTCAGTGCTACGCTGAATACGTCACCTATACTGGCTCCTACCTGTTGGATGGCAAACCTCTAAGCAAGCTGCATATTCCAGTGGTGAGTCACCTTCTCCCCTCGCTTAGTTCTGCACATGGGTCTAGGTCACGGCACTGGGGACTGTCCCCTCCCGTGTTGCCACCAGCATGAGCACCTTGTCCCCTAACGTGGGGGGATCCCGTGGCGCCCTGGCGTGTCCCCAGGCTTGGGGACAGGGCTGAGCTGCGGGATGGGGATGGCTGCCTGCTAAATACTCCCTCTGAGACCCCTGCATTTTTGCATTTGGGACCTTAGGCTGCGCTTACGAACCTAAGATATTTTGAGGCTTTAGAGCAAGCTTATATGAATCGGCTGGATTTGAGGCCAGAAGGCAAAATTGCTTTTACCAGCAGCATCGTAATAGGACAATGAACCTAGAACACTGCAAGGAGCAGGGAGCTGCTCTCCCCTCCTGCCTTCCTTTGCTAAAGCTTCAGTGCTTGACTTGCCGATCGCAGTAACTCTTGGCGCTGGGGCCTGTTTCCTTGCTGCCGGCCTGAGCAGACTTTGCTAATACAAACGCATCAATAAACCTGGCGTTCCAGGCAGGAAATCTGGGATCCAGCCTCGAGGATGAGGGGCTCGGTGTGACCTGCCGTCCTGACCGGTCCCGCTGCAGCCGGTGCGGTGGATCCCGCTCCACCAGCCTTGTTGTTGCCTGCCCAGGACAGCAGCAAGGTCCATGCAGGAACCTCCGGGAGGCCCTTTGTGCTTTCCTAGAGTCAAGTTTTTACTGCTGTAACACACTTACAAGGAGTTTTCTCTCTGGGATAAACAAGCAGGTTCTCCTTTCACACAACATTTGTCTTGCGGGGTCTGATACGTCCTGGGAAGCCGTTGGCTGTAGACGAAGGCCCAGGCCGAGCACGGCGGGGAGCGGAGATCCCTCTGAGCCGCCTGGAAAAGCGAGGGGTGAAAATGCAGGGCCTGTTGCTGCAGCAGGAGCAGCATCCGCGTGGGGCGGGAGGTTCCCGGGTCCCCCCGCTCCGCCGGACGCGGGGCGGGC